TCAGTATGGCATTAGACATTTGTGTGCAAAGTTGCATTTTTTTCTGCTTCACCTCATCGTCTTGCACTATTTTACAAAATAGAAGGAAATTAATAAAGTTATATGAAAATTACACTTTTCTTTTTTTCAATAAAAAAACACAGAAACTCAGAAATTTTGTTTTTCTTTTAAGAGTGGAGAGCATCACTGGTACTATAGCTTCCAGGCAACCATCTCTCTTTTGGTTTAGAAATCAGTGATATCAACCCTTTTGGGGAGTAAAGAAACCAAGGAGTAATCTTAGAAGGTAACACACCTTATAATTCAAGTGCCTTTTAAGGTTCCAGCAAGGATGAATCAAACATAGTGTGCCTTATACTTGCCTGCAGCAGCTCTGAAAAATCATTTTTCTTCTGTGTATTTAAAAAAAATCAGCATTTCAGCTTTAAATTTTGTTTTGGAAATATATGAATCTTGGTTTACCAACTTTAATTGTCTCCTTCTCCTTTTCTCCAAAGTACAGCTCTGACTGAAAGTGGGAATGCAACTTTTTCTCCTGCTTTAGGAGGCATCCAACTCACTCTGCCCTCTACCCCAGCACTCTGTGGGCTAGGGCATCAAGTCAGAAAGACACCTCAGTTAGAAATACTGCTCTCTTCCAGGTGCTATTTTAAAAACAGGCCTTGAAATACATTTTCTTTAGTATAAATGGGTTTTCCACCTTCTTGACTCAATTGTGGGGCATTTACATTGAAGTGGCATCAGCTGGCACTGTTGAATGCCTCTACTGTCACAAAACATAAGGGAGCACATGAAGTATTTTCCTTTACATCTCTACTCCTTTTCTGCTGGCAGGGAAAAGCAAACTGAATTCAGAGCTGGTAGGACCTGAACAGTGATGTGCTCAAAAAAGTCATTTGCTGCTTTAAAGTTTAGGTTCACTCAACCTGCATTTTCACAGCAGAAAATCTTGGCAGATGGAAGCAGTCATTCAAAGCTCATTTTGCTCACTTAGCCTTATCAGCAAAATGGCAGCATCCATGTGAGGTCTAAATGACTCAGTGGTGAGCCTGGCACTGCCCTGCACTAGGTGTGGTGGATCATGGCTCTGTGCAGTGTTACACTGCACAGCTGCTGCAGCAGCACCCCAGATATAAATATACATCTATATAGATATATATATACACACCATTACATCAGGACAAAATTGAAGCCTTCTTTCACAGCAATATCCAACACAGACATTGTCAAAGTAGACCATTTCCAAGCTGTTTTAACCTTTCTCTCCACTAGCTCTTTACCCAGCTATTCATTTTGAGGCTACATGCAGTCCTCTACACAACTCTCTCCTTAGGTGTTCTGCAGAGCAGCCAGATTAGAACAGATTTTGTGAATTCTCTTTTATGCAGGACATTACTGACAGTATTTTTGCTCTCTGGGAGGTTTGAATATGAGGAAGGCCTTTTTGCTTTTATTTCTTTTGGGAACACAAGAATTGGGGAGAAAAGGAAAAAAAATTGCTGATTGCCTACCTGAACAAACAAAAGTAGAAAATACCTCTGCTGCAATCTGTGACAGTGCATGAGTCACTGTGAGGAATCAGGTTTGACTTGTCTACAGAAACAGTTGGCAGCTCCCAAGTTTCACCTTTAATGTCATCAGAGCTGACATTCTCTTGAGAGGTTTGCCTTGCAGAGTTGCTCTCTTGGTCCCTGTGCAGTCCCAGGCAGAGGGCAGCCTGCTGGTAGGTGCTAGAGCTGATGTGACTGTCCTTGCAGACAAACCTACCAGAGACTTCTGAGAGGAGCCTGCTCACTGGAGCATGGCAGTGGTGTGAATTAGCCTGCAATAGTGCAGTAATTTATGTAGCTATATTGTCACACTGTGTACAGAGCCTGAGAAGTGTCTCCTATTTACTGCAATTGAAGCACTTATCCTTGTTTCAGCAGTAAACCTAACAGCAGCTAAAAATAGAAGCTATCGAGCTTCACAGTAAGCAAAAGGAATGAGGTGCATGAGATAATGATCTCTCAGTCCTGCAGAGCACCTGAGCAGTCCTTGAATCCTTTAAAAGTGTCTGTGCTAAGGTTGAACTTCTCTCCTTTTCCAGACCCAGCCATGCTCCTGGGAGCCATGACTGCCCTTCCCCTGGAGGTTTTTCCCTATCAGTGTACTACAGCTCCATGACTATGCCCTGATCTACTTTGGCACTTTGAAATCAGCTAGTTTAACCCAAACTAATTTAGGAGATGTGGTGGATGAGCAGGTGAGGTAGGAAGAGGGCAAGCAAACAACATCTTTATTAAGGAGAGAGAGGAGGGAACAAAAAAGATAGCCCCTCTCCAAGTCACTGTGAGACTGTCATTCTTGCTGTTAGAGATGGAAAGCCTTGAACACTTCAATGTCCCAATTTTTTCCTTCAGCTGCTTCATTTTATATTGAACATGTAGTTATACTGAAGAGCTTCTGCTTGTGTGTGATAAGCTTGTCTTGGGCTAGAGAGGGAAGAGCTTCTGAGAACAAGAATTAAAAATGCTCTGACAGAGCAAAAAAGATAATTTTTAATCCACTCCTTCAGATGTATATGTGTAAGTGGTAGACACATCTTGTTCTTTTACTAATGTGGAAGAAGAGAATTTGTGCAGCATATTTGTACTTTTTACCTATGTTGGAGAGTCAGGATGTAATGAATCTGTGTCAGAAAATATTTATTTTATTTTTTTAATATTTTATTTTGTGTGAATCACCTCGTGTTGTGTAACTTTTGGGGTTGAATTAACCATGCATGTGTGAAACCAGGATGCTTGACCATGATTGATCACTACCTACTGGCAACCTGTAAAATTTGGCCTTTGACAACAGTGCAGAAGAAGAGAAATTAAACTAGAAAACATCTCAAAAGGTCTGTGGCAGTGCTTCTGAAAGACATATCTGATGGATGGTCCTTTAACAAAGTTTTAAGTATCCACGAGATATTTTAAATATCCACAAAGCATCATAAATACTATTTTTTATTTATACATCTGCTCTTTTGCTACAGCAGACACTGTCAGCCCACTGAAACTGTCAGCTCCTGTCCAGCCTATGATCCACAATATCCACAGATCTTTCTCTACAAAACTGCTACCCATAGGGGGATAGGATATAAGAAAATAAAGGTAGTATAGAAAGTAATCTTACCCCTAAGGAGTTGCAGCTGGGCCAATTATCAAAGATTAGGAACAGGCCTGACTTTACCAGGCCACAGCTGTAAGCAATGAGAAGCAGAGTGTTATAAAAGAGTGGGGTGGCTGGTTGAGAAGGGAACTGGAGTCAGTTGGCTGCTGTGAGAAGGGAGAGTCAGTGCTCTGAGGAGTTGCCCACAAGAAACCCCAAGAAGGTATGAAACTCTTGCAATAAGGAGACAACAATATGGAACCTTTGCAATATAATGACAACAGCTACCTAAGTATTGGTTTCCTCTTTTTCTCCATTTGTGCTTGCACAATTCATTATTTATACTTAAGCATAAACTTTGTACCTGTTACTGTTTAGTAGCAGCCTGTGTCTCTGCAGATCATAGCTGTAATTTGTCAGCTTAATTTTGTCCTCTTAGCTTCAAGTAAATATGTAATTAGAAGAGCCAGACTTTATTTCATCATCCAGTTTGATAATGAAAACACTAAATACTCCTGAACCCAGGACAGAGTGGTCAAATCCTCACTCTGTGGCTTCCCCCTACTCTGATAGTAAATCACTAATACTTTGACTCTGAGCATGAACTCTGGAACTAGTAAAAGTAGTTTCCTCCAAACTGTTTCCTTAGCTTATGATAAGAGAGTCATCTCAGATGGCCAAAACTTGAGAAATTTTTTTGAGAGTTAAGATATGTGACATTCTCCTATCCTTCATGTATGAGCCTGTTAATTTGTTGTAGTAGGAAATCAGAATGATCTAGGATTATACACAGCTGATAGATTCGTAGAGGCTAGTACTCATCTATAATCATCTTTTGTAGACTAATATGATTTAATTAAATTTTTCTCCATTTTTTCAGATATGTATATATATATTTATATATACTTATATAGCCTTGTAGTCACCATGTAGGTCTGCCTCTTCTATTCCTCCCATCTTCCCCTAGGCTAAGAGATTTCTCCATTAAATTGCTCTGTGCCCTCTGATGAAGTTCATTGAACTTCTATCCAATCTGAAAACATCTGATTTATCTAGGAGCATTCTAGGTGTGCAATTCAGTGGTTTCAGCAACCGTGACAATATCTGCTATGTTTTACTTAGGCTGTAATAAACAAAGCATTCCATCAGTGGCAACACTGAAATCAATGGAAGTTGTTCTCATGTCCAGACTAAGCTCTCCATGTTTCTGGACTCAATAGCAAAGCCCAGAGCTAGAGAACCCTGTGTTTCCCAAATGTCTTTGCCTGAATGGTTTTAAATTTTGCCTTCAAGGTGGCTTAGTCTTGTCTTTTCCTTCCTCTTTCTTTGGTTGCTAGGAGAGGTGTATATAAAGCTGCTTCCAGGAAAGCTTTTTGACAAGTCTTCTGCTGCAGGGAGAGGGCAAAGTCAGATGCAATTCTTGCTGTCATACCAACATAACTGTCTTAGGAGCTTAGAGCACCAAAGCCATCATGGGTTTGCTGGAATTTACTTCAAGGGACTCCTTCACAACTTTAATGTGATTTCTGACTTGGTCATGTAGTTTTTGCTCCTGGATATATTTGCTCCACTTACACCTTGAAGGAGACCACATGGCTTACTGGAAGTTGTCTCCCACTGTGACATAAAGCAACAGGTTGCCACATGTGTTGAATGGAGCTGGTGGCTGAGAGACACAGTAGGCAGAGTGTCTTCATTCTCCATGTGACAGCTGGCTGGACACAACTGTAGTTAACCTGAGCAGTTACCTAAGATTGAAAGGAAAACTTTCCAAACAATAATAGAATTGATAACATGAAGAGCAGTCTTTTTTAACGTCTTTTATGAAAAGTCTTTAATGAAAGCTTTCATTAAAAGACTGCTCCTCATGTTATCAACTCTAATATTGTTTGGAAAGTTTTTCTTCCAATCTTAGGCAACAGAGCCACCCAAAAGACATGGAAGGGAAGGAAGTACACATGGAAGACCACCAAGAGGACAACAGCAAGTCTTAGAGCCTTCTGTTTGTAGCAAGCCCATGTGAGGGGCCAATGGCCAAGGTGCAAATGATGAGCCCATAGCACAGAGTCACTGTCAGTGAGGGCAAGAAGAAGGCCAGGCTGGTCAGCAGCCACCTGATTGTGCCCAGGTTTGCAGAGCTGGTCAGGTTGAGGCATGAGGACTTTGTTTTGTGTCCCTATTGAAGAGATCAAAAAATGACAGGGCCAACAGCTTCCAGTGCCATCAACCAAATGCTTGTGCGAGCCACTGCTGTCCACCACTTCCTCTAGATGTGGGAGAACTTCATTGTGTCAAACATCACCATGAAGGCACTGAAGCAGGTGAGGAAGAGGATTCTGCTGCACAATTTGAAGGGGAAGCTGAAGCAGATGAACTTGCATGTGAATTCACCAAAAATTGAGTGTTCCCCAGTAGCACAGTAGTGCATCAGGAAGGGAAGGCCAGTGAGGTAGAGCAGGTCTGTGAGTACCAGGTTCAGCCTGATTAGGGTGCTGGTCTTTCAAGATCTCATCTTGAAGCTGTAAACACAAATGACAATGAAATGTCCCAGGAAGCCCAACAGAAAGACATAATGTGGAGGTACAAAGTCTTCAGACCAACTTCCACACAGTGCCTTTGGGAAAATCAACTTCAGTGTCTTGCTAGGTGATGGAGTTGGCTAAGTTGTCATTTGTTGTGTTCATTTTTTTCTCCTTAGCTGTTAAGAAAGAGAGAAATGTTTAGTGTCACTGACAGATAAGACTCCTCACTTCTCATTAAAAACAACTTAAAATCAGGTCTTTCCTTTCAGCTGCTCATCAATGCTGCTATTAAAGTGACTTTTATGAATAAGGAAAGACCTTGCTGTGTTAAGAATTGATCTTGATCTAGAGGACTTTTATCACATCTAGATACACCAAATTTAATTTTAAAATGGATATTTCAGGAAAGGGCCAAAACAGGCACAATGAAACTGTAATATAAGGGATTCAACAGTGTTTGAGGTGTGTCCCCTAGTATACAATGTTCACTTTCTGCTCTCATCAGGGGTCAAATGGAGAAGAAGGACAGATTAGTTGTATTATGTTACTGACCAAAAGTATAGAGGGTAATTTCCAGAACATAACTGTTCCATTAAAAAGAACCCACCCCAAAAAAAGGTGGATTTTGAAGAGTTTTCAGAACTTTTTTTTTTTTTTTCCTACTTGAGTTGGTTGATATTTTTACATTTTTCTTCTTGCTTCTTGGAAACCAGTGGTAGAGGAATATTTCATTATTTTAGTTCATTAACAAGATTGATATTGCCAACAAATAAGTTATTTTTAGGCTTGTCGTTAGCTGCTACGTAAATTTCCGTCCCTGTAAAAACTTTAAATGGTGTTTTGCTTTGACATTAGTCTTAGATAGAAATTTTCTGAAACATCAAAATAAATCCATCCAATTTTGTAAAGCAGCCAATTGCAAGATACAATATGGGACATGAGCAGGATTCGAGGAACATAAAGACAGCCTGGTATACAGTCTCTACAGCAGAAAATAGACAGTCACTGATGCACATAGCAAATAAGTGTTAACATGGCATTCAGTAAATACATTTTCTGTGAAGAAGTGCTCTCTTCTAAAATGGAGTGAATGTTCTGCTGGAAGAAAATGAATACATCTAGAATATTTTTTTCCAGAGGAATGCAGTGTCTTATAGGATGATGCCTGTCCTCAAATTATTGTGGCCTGGATCTGTTAAAATGGATCCTACTGAATCACTGCTTCTGTTTCTTGTTTCGCTCTGAATTTTCTTGCTGTAGCTTCTACCCTCACTTGTGAGATCCCACAGAAAAAAGTTGCAGGATTTGGATTCAAATTTGTGTAGAACATTTGGTTCAAACATATTTAAAATACTTTGACAAATGAAGCTGGAGCTTGAAAAGATGTATGCCAAACACTGGCAATGGTTTTTAAAGAGCAAAACAGTTTTAAACCCCTTGTCATGGCTGGGGATAGTGCAGGAGAAGTTTGGATGAACCCAATGGTCCTACTTCACAGTTGTGCAGCAATGCCATCATTCCCAAACAAAACTGAAGCCTCTGCTGCAGCTAATGGCTAACCAGGCTGGCAGCAGCAGCTACACCCTGCCTAAGCTGTGCTGTGCTCTCGCGCTGGGAGCACCAGGGCTGTGCCCATCCCACTGTTCCCAGTGCACAGCTAGGGAGCCAGCTGAAGGGCATGGCTGGGAGCTGCTCCCCACACCACTTCCTTTGTGCTTTTGGGAGAATTTCATTCTGTCAGCAGCTTGCTCACCACCAACCAGCGTGCTGTTGTAGCAAACCATAGGCCGGAGGGCAAATGCCTGTGATCACCAAAAGCACATCAGTGGCACTCAACCATGCAGTCCCTACTGGTGGCCACTTGCCCTCAGGGGCTTTTGGAGCCTTCACTATCCATCTGTTTCGTGTGTTGGCTGGATGCAGGTCAAGGAACTCCCTTAGAGGCCAGACCACACCCCAAGCCCTGCACTGGATATGGAAACACAAAATGGGCACAAGCATTGCAAGAAAAGCATGTGGGTGTGGGGTGTCAGTTCTGAACTGCCCTAAGGTTACAACAGGTTACAGCAGCGACCAAAGGAAGAAGACAGTGAGTCTTTGCTGTTGGCCTTGTTATTTTGCTGTCTGAATTACAAATGGAGTTTAGACAAAACTTAAATCTAATAAAGGAACAGTTTGTACTGTGGCAGATTTTATCACACTAAGTAATTGGCCATAATGGCACTTCTGCAGCCCAGGCTGAGGGCAAATGATATATGCTGTAGACACATAATGAACTTTAAATAAATTATCCAAAAGCAGAACTAGAAGGGAACTAGATTATTGAAATAGAAACCCTCTTTCAGTCTTAATGGTGGAGTCACTGCTTTATTACATGGTATTCTTTACTGTAACCAATTGATTGGAGTCACTTTAAAAAATGTTGTGATTGCATGTCTTTAATTGCAGTCACGTATAAGAGAAACTTGTCTGCTTCTGCATTGCGATAATTTAATTACAGCCTGCTGGAAATAAAAGCCAAATGGCTGCAGCCATGGCAAAGTAACCTAGTGCCTGTAATTGGACTATATTTCACACAGATGTGTTGCTGAATAAATTAAATAGAATTTGGCTCGCAGTGTTCAACTCTTCAACTGACTTAGATTTAAAAGACACAAATGATATACTTTGGGATCAAGATGTGAGCCCTCCTTATCGTTTATAATTCAGGGGATATTTTCATGCGGAAAGAGCATGTGGATTTAACTCCAGTGTTGGGCGCATCTCGGGTAAGTTTAATTTGTTCCATACTTCCATCATGTTGTAACCCTTTACTCATCTCTCTCCACTTTTCCCTGCCTCCAAGTTTCTACTTCTAAATCAAAATATGCATTTTACTTATAAACCCTTAGTGTTCTCTTCTCTTCACAGTTGGTTTCTTAAGTATGTTACTCCAGCTGGCAGTTTTCTTTTAAATTCCACAGGTTTGTGCTGTGAGACTGGTTGAGAAAGCCCCCATGGGCTATCAAGCAAGCTGTGGGAACATTCTGACTGTGTTCCCAGGTTTCTGCCAGGTGAGGACAGCATGGGCTCCATGGTGATAAGTGAGAGCAGCTCTGCCCCCTCTCACCTACCTACCTGCAGACTAGCAGCCATGTCCCCAGCAGCAGGGCTGTCCTGGTGTCACCTGTCCTCCAATCTGGCCTCCAATACCTGCTTGGGACATGAGACATACCCTGTCTCACTCTCAGAATGGACTGGCACTGCCTGTACCCTGCCCAGTTGGGTTGGAGTGGTTTGCCAGGGCTGCTTCCAGCCTCAGTGAGGGAGGCAAGCCAGCAGCACCCAGGCAGTGAGAGGCAGCACCAGCTCAGTGCCTGTCTCAAGGAATACCCATCTTCCAAGCCCCAGAGCACAGGAGAGGTGGGAGATGAGGGGAAGGATGCAGAAAGAGCAGGGTTTTGAACTGGCAGGAACTTCTCTGCAGAGAGCTTGGTGGATGGTGAGATCTCAGACCAAACCCTTGCCTCTCAAGGAGAGCAGAGCTCTCCAAACTGGGAACTTGTCCCTCTGCATGGATGGGTCTGACACTGAAAAGAGCAAGGACTGTGAAACCTGGGCTGAAATGGGTCTTGTGCCTGGGAGAGATATTTAAGGCCAGGTGATTGTGAGGGCAACCCAGGTGGAGGTAGGTTTTGATGGAGAAAAGGATTGCATGAATGACAGATAACTACCCTGACCATGTTACACGACTCATTCATTTTCTGCTGACTTGTCCAGAGGCCAGAGGAAAGGTTTTGAAGAGAGATATGGAGAGGCTGGACCGATGGGCTGAAGTCAAATTTAGAAGGTTCAGTGAGGCCAAGTTCCAGGTCTTGCACTTGGGTCACAACAATCCCATACAGCACTCCAGGTTTGTCAAAGAGTGGCTGGGAAACTGGTCGGCAGAAAAGGATCTGGTCAAGGGCCAGCTGACCATGATCCAGAATGTGCCATTGGCCAAGAAGGCAAAGGTCATTCTGGCCTGTATCAGCAATAGTGTGGCCAGCAGGACAGAGCAGTGATTGTTCCTCTGTACTCACCCCTGCCAAGGCCACATCTCAAGTGCTGCCTTCAGCTCTGGGCCCCTCACTGCAAGGAAGACATTGAGGAGCTGGAGTGTGTCCAGAGAAGGAACATGACTCTTACTCAGAGCGGTCTTGATATTAAGTGATGTGAGGAGTAACTGGAGAAATTGGGGGTGTTTCGTCTGGAGAAAAGGAGGCTGAGGTGGGACTTTATCACACTCTACAACTTGTGCTCTGCAGCTGTCTGTAGCAAGGTGGGGGTTGGCCTCTTCTCTCCCAGCGGGCAGACAAGAGGAAACGGCTTCAAGCCGTGCAGGGGAGGTTCAGGTTGGAAATTAGGAAGAATTTCTTCACTGAATGTGTGATTAGATGTTGGAATGGGCTGCCCAAGGAGGTACAGGAGTCATCATCCCTGGAGATGTTCAAGAAACAATTGGCATTGGCACTTAGTGTTAAGTTAGTCAACATGGTGATGCTCAATCAAAGGTTGGACTCGGTGATCTTGGAGGTTTTTTCCGATCTTAACTATTCCATGATTATATGAATGAAGAAGCCTGTGTCAAACTATGTGCTCCTTTTGATTATGTTTAATAAAAATATCCAGCCTGCAGTGTGATCTGAAGTATTTTGCAGTCCCTAAATAACTAGGCAATAAAGCAGGAGAAAAACCAGTACTTCCTTGAATGTGATGACCAGCTCTCAAGAAGGGTCTGGCACAAATCCCATCTTCCTTTGGAGATGAAGAAGTGCTTATTCTTGTGTGTCTTACAACAGGGGTTTCACTGCCTGTGCAGAGTGAATTGGAGGGAGCATGGCCCACCTAGAGATTCCAGTGTAACCATGGTGTGGACCTTGAAGATTTTATGGGATTACTCCCTTTTCCAGTGTGTAGCTCTTGCTACAATGACCCTGCTGTGACCCTATTATGACAGGTAGTGATAGCACAAGGGAGAACGGCTTTTAACTGAAAGGGAGAGGGTTTAGATTAAATCTAAGAAATCCTTTACTATGAGAGTGGTGAGACACTGGAACAAGTTGCCTAGAGAAGGTGTGGATGCCCCATCCAGTGGGGAAGTGGTCAAATCCAGGTTGAATGGGGATCTGGTTGAGTGGGAGGTGCCCTCACGACATAGTGTTTGGAACTAGATGATCTCTAAAGGTTCCTTCCAATGCAAATAATTCTATAATCCTATGATTTTATGATTGCAGAGATGTCCTGTAGTCCCAGTATTTGCATGTGTTGCTTGATCTTCTCTTCAAAAGGTTTTGACATGTGCTGACTGCTCTGCATGGACTTCCACCTTGTTTCAGAGCAGTGATCTTTAAGCTGGTTCCAGGCTTCTCCTTTTTTGGAAAATAATCACTTTCAAAAGCATAAGCATTCCAGATTTGATTTTGATTAAATATTTGCAAACTTCTGTGAACAGGTAGGAAAGTTATTATCTCGAGAGAGAAATGTTTAGATGAGGCTGAAAAAAACTTGAATCCTTTCCAGCACTGAACTTCATCTCAGATCTCATGTGAAGGTATTATTTACTTTCCCATGATCATAAGAGATGTGAACCTGGAGATATGAGCAATTATGTGCTGCATAATGTAATGATGAATCAGGCTCAAACCATTTAATAAATAAAACTTCTTAAATGGTTGCATAACTGTCCTGTTTACCTGATGCTTTCAGTATTTGCAATTTTCACATGCCATTTTCGGCTTATGTCATAAACAACCTATTCTCTTTAACTCTTTCTGGTATAAATAATGCAACATCCCCTTGAGATTGAGCATTACTTTTGGATTTTTAAATTCCTGAGCAATAGGTGATATGAACCACCGTTGTCTGCAGAAAGGGTTGAAATCACTGTTTTACCATGTGACCAGGTGCCAGATGGTACTAATTTCAGTACTCTGCATCATGGAAATTGTACATGCTATAAAGAGCATATGGGGAGTCATGGAGAGGCCAAGCATGTGAAGTCAGGAGTTCCAGCTTATTCCTATATACCTGGATGAAGGACTTTCTGCATTTTACTTATGAGTTCTTGTCAATATATAGGAGATAGGGTTTTTTTTATTATTTTTCACTTCATTGTCTAAGAAACAATTTTCTGCTCTGGTATGGTATTTTGGAAGACTGGATATTGTTCTGGAATTACAATTCAAATTATATTAAAATGGCATCATTACTTGGATTCTTCATCTCAGATTTAGTGTTTGTAGTTCAGAAAAAGATTTGAAAAGTTATGAATAGCTGGAAAAGAGCTTCAGGAGTAAATGGTATACTGGGAGATGTTGCGACATGCCTTGCAATACATTGAGGCTTTAGAGATTTTCTTTGACTAGTTTATTTGAGAGCATATTTAAACAGAAACAGGTGATAGTCGTGATCCCATTCATTGGAAGAGATTCCTGGCATCAGTGTAGCTTAAGATATGCCAGTCCAGGGTGGCAATGAGGAACAAGTAATTCTTTGTGGGGGTGGGTAGCTACTCAAACAATTGCCTGTAGTAATATGGTACTTTACCTTTGGAATTTTTGAACCACTGTTGAGTGTCTTTTGCATAAATATTAGTACAGTCACAGAGAAACATGAGATGATATTGTCAGACAACTTTGCAGGACAGATTCATAGGGTTTGAAGGCTCTAGAAAATACAATCTAAAGGTTGTATCCCCAAGACCATGTACACTCAAGGCCATAGGATTTTAGCTCTGAATTCCCATAACTTGTATTAAGCATGGGCGTTTTTATTAGTTATTACTAGAAGGACAATTTTGATTTGAAAAGAGAGAGAGAGAAAATCCTCTTATTCCTTTGATATTTTTTTCTAATGGCAAATCATGCCCACAGTTGAAATCACATTTAGATTTTAGTACGACTCTCTAGTTTGTACTTTCAGCCTTTCAAGTTCTTCATGTGTGTCTCTGCTCTAAGGAGAGAGAAGCCCATTTAGCAATTGCTGTTTTGTGTTTGTGGAAATATTTAAATTTAATAATCCAATCCTCTTTCACACTTCTTCCTGATTGTTTTGTCTCTTAGGCATTCTGGGATAACATCCGACCTTCTCTACCTATTCTTCATCCTGCCACTGGCTTTGTGAGGTGGAACTTTATGTCCTACAGCCTCCATGCTGGGTTTCTGTATCTCTGGCTGGAGCCACATCTCTGCCTGCAGTACAGACTCACAGACACCCCAGGCACCCCCAGTGTGCATGCACCAGTCGGCTCTGCCCAAGCTGCCTCAGGACTCTGCTGAGGTGTCAGGGGTGGACTGTTCTGTACACTCCACCCTTCCAAGCCCTAACATTCTCTTGCAGCAATCAGGGAATCTTTCCTGCTTTTCTGTCTCTTTATCTGCTCATCACTAAGGTATTCCTTCTTAGTGTGACTGGAGCTCCAGCTGATGATGCTGGGCACTTTCTGCCCTGCCATGGGGGAGAGATGGGAGGAGAGATCCTTGTATCCCTGTTCCCTTGAAAATTCTAAAAACTGAGAAAATCTTCCCCTCCACCTCTTACTGGTGGGGAGATGGGAATATAAAGAGATGTACTGGGCTAGGAAACCATCACCCAGAGTAGGAAAAGCAGAAAGAAAAATTGCTATTAGTAGGGTCTAAGAATCACAAAAAACTCATGCTGATGCTGCATCAGCAGCAACAGAACAAAGAATGTATTGTGCTGCCCACTTTTATCATACAGAGCAGTGAAATTATGCAGCCAAGCAACTGCTGCCACACAAATTCAGCAAGGAAAGCCTCCATAGCATAGCCCCTTGTCAGGGTATCTCTCCTGCTTTTCAGGTGTGACTGTGGTGGGCTGTGTGGTCACCAGCTTGCTGCCAAAATACAAATACCTTAAAGGGATTCAGTTGTTAGAGGTTGCCTCCTTCTGTCAGAAAATAAATGGGATGCTTCTGCTGTCATTCCAAGCAAAACCTGGTTGCTTTTTTCTCCTTGGAAATAGATTTTCTTAAATAATTTAGTTATTTCAAATTCTTTGCTGAAATTGAGATGTTCCTTAGCATGTATTTTTACACAAATCCCATGTGATCCATTGTGTAATCTCCCTATAAACAGCTTTGAACAATTTTCATG